CAAGAACGGACTGTTTTCACTACGGGAATGTGATGGACATCATCCCTCATATGCAACGGATCACACCACTGTTCGCTCTCGCAGGTTGCGACTCGCAAGTTCCAGTCGTTTCCAGTGGTTTCAGGTTGTATTAGTTTCATTGGTTTCATATTGGTACTAGCTCTCTAGCTGTAGCGACTAGTAACTTTTCTTCCTATCTGCCGACTCCCGGCACTTTTATACAGCTCAGTCTTCATTTTTCCCGCTACTGTTCAAGACTCACCATTTTCCAAGTAAACCCATAACAATTTCGAAATTATACCTGAGGTTCACTCCGGTCCAAGTTTTCTCGCCCTGACTCCAAGTCCAGGCACTACTTTATCCACCCTTTTAAGTACGAATTCTAAATCGTACCTAACTGGATGAAAACCCCGCGTGCCGTAGAAGACGTATCACCCAACTTGCGTCCAAGACAACAGACTCGTCTTGACGACGACGCGACATATATGGCTGACACTACCGACACGGGAATTCCTAGAACTTACACTCAAGCAGGGAGTGGTGATGCTGCAGCTACTCCGGGGCCTCATTCGAAACCAGCCTCCGCCCCGGCTGCCGCAAACACCACCCGCAATGACGCTCCTCCTACAAATGCTTCCTCGGGAGCCGACACTGTCGCTCAGATGCTACAGGTGTTCATGGTACAGCAACAAGCCATGCAGGCACAACAACAACAAGTAATGCAAGCTCAACAACAACAATTTCTATCATTTATGCAACAACAATCCCATTTTCAGCGCGAGATGTTTGAGAGCCAAGCTCGTGCAAACTCGCAGAAGCAGAAGGCGGACCCACCTAAGTTCAACGGCAAGTCGTCCGAAGACCTCGAGTTGTGGCTGTTCCACATCGAGGAGCATTTCAGTGTCTACGCTACAGAGCGCGATGCGCCAGATTCTCGGTTCGTCGACATGGTTGTCCCGTTTTTGGGTACTGAAGCCATGTCGTGGTACCGAGAGTTCAAGAACACGCTGGGTGACTCACCTCGCGTATGGGCTCTGTTCAAACAGCAAATCAGGCTGCGTTTCTGTGATAGTGATTTCGATTACAAATTGCTGACTAAGCTCTACAACTTGCGATTCGCTACTTCTCAGCACGATTATACCTCCAAGTTTATGTTGTTGCTCTCGCAAACAACGATGGAATTGCCAGAGATTGTAAAAAGATGGTTTTATCAGCAAAATTTACGAGCGGACACTAATTGTCACATTTCACAGAATATCCCTTCTACGCTGCAGGAGGCCATCACTCACGCTCAGCGCTTCGAGGACGCCCGCTCTGCCCGCCCTACCGAGAGTAGCGCTTCCAATTCTACGCTCTCCAACAAGAAACAGCCGGTCAGCAAGCCTTCCGTGCCCGCTGCAGCAACAACAGCTCCTGTGTCTGCCAAAGTGACGAAATCACCCATCGTGTGTCACCGCTGTGGCCAGCCAGGTCACATTGCACCAGCATGTCCCGAGCGCGGGAATGCTGGAGTGCAAAAAAGTAAGTAGCTCAGCGGGCTGGCGCCCCGCTGAGCATGGGCCCAACAGTGTTGACCGTACACTGTTGGTGAGCTCAGCCAAAGCTTCGAGTGCATCTGTATCTGTGGACCCACCGGCTCTTTTGTTTACAGCCGCGACAATCCAGTTTACATTCGCTCAAAGCATGAAATTTATGGTTTTCTGGAGCAGTTTGCCACTATAAAGGAACAAACTGTCTCTACATTTATTGATAGTGGAGCCTCCTTCAACGCAATTACTCCTCAGCTCGTCGAAAAGCTAGGTCTCGTCGCGAAATGTTACGGTACTCCTGTTTCTATCACTGTGGGTGGTGGTAATAAGCTCGTTATCCCACGAAAAGTGGTAACGTTTACATGCCACATTCCTGGATTTGCACCATATCGCACAAGTGCACTCGTTATGGACGTTCCCGAATCAAAAGACGTTCTCTTCGGTATGCCATGGCTTACTACGGCAAATCCTGACATCAATTGGTCTTCAAGGACTATTTCTTCACGCGACGACCATATCGCACAAGTGCACTCGTTATGGACGTTCCCGAATCAAAAGACATTCTCTTCGCTATGCCGTGGCTTACTACGGCAAATCCTGACATCAATTGATCTTCAAGGACTATTTCTTCACGCGACGGCTCCTCTACCCTACAATTTTGCCAATGTGTTCACGCCAATGCTGCTACTCGTATCGGTGGCCGCCGGGTTGGCGTCCCACATCGAGCGACAGCACTTCCGAAGGGCAACTTGTTGCAGTACTACAGCCGACATGATTTTCAGTCCGCTCACGGGGTTACACGCGTCATTTCGACAAAACAGGTAAAGCACTTGCGCCGCGCTACGGACAACGAATTATGTATGTTCGTGAATGTTAACGATGGACCATCTAAGGAAGAGCTGGCATGGGATTTGTTAAAGACAAATCCCGCTTATCCTTTACTGTGCAAATTCAGATCGAGAGATCAAGCCTTTTCCGAGAAGAATTGCCATCGGTGCCGCCAGTGCGCGAAGGACACATGGAAGCAAGCATCGAACTGACAGACGACACCCCTGTACACCGGAAGCAGTTCCCACTTTCAGCTAAACAATGAGAGGCTATCAGTCTCTGGACGCAAGAGATGCTGTCGGCCAAAATTATTCGCAAGTCGGCATCACCATACCGTTCACTTACATTTTGTGTGCGGAAGAGCTCGGGAGAGTGGCGAACCGTCCACGACGTTAGAGGTCTTAATGCAAAGATGCGAGTTCCAGCCAACCCCATCCTTCGGAAGGAGGAGATCTACCGAGCGATGGCCGGCGGAAAATTGTTCTCGGCAATGGACCTCCTTTGGGGTTTCTACCAAGTACGCCTTCGTGAAGACTCAATCCCATACACGGCGTTTGCCACTCCTGACGGACTTTATGAGTACTTGGTCACGCCTATGGGGGTTTCTAGTAGCCCTTCCTGTTTTAACCGGTTGGTGCTATCCATATTCAGCGACCAACGTGCGTTCTGCCAAACCTACTTCGACGATATTTTCGTATTTACACAGTCAGAGGAGGTGGGTGATCACTTGGCTGCGCTCGAGAAGGTATTCCAGCGTTGTGTCGATCAGAACCTCTACACCAAGCTGTCTAAGTGTTCCTTCTGCGCGACAGAGATACCCTGTCTCGGCGACTTCATTGGACGCGACGGGGTTCGTATGGACCCAGCTAAGTGCAAGGTAATAACAGAATTTCCGGTTCCTCGCACGAAACATCAGCTCCAGTCATTTCTCGGGACATGCGTTTATGTCTTACGCTTTTGTCGGGATTTTGCGACGTTAGTAGCACCATTGACCGAACTTACCAAAGGCAAAGCTAAGAACGACACCATCAGTTTTGATGAGACGCACATGACCGCCTTTCGCGAACTCAAGTCCAGATTGACAGCTCCTCCTGTTTTAGCACACCCTGATTTCGCATTGCCATTTCATGTTAGCATGGATGCGTCGGACTTCGCGATCGGCGGATATCTATTTCAGCGGGACGAACAAGGGGAACGCATAATCACTTATGGAGGTCGAAAGCTGACTCGCGCTGAAGTCATTTATCCTACCAGGGAGAAAGAACTCCTCGCGGCGTTGCACGCCATGCGAATGTGGAAAGTATACCTCATTGATCGACCATTCTATATTAACACTGACCATCACACGATTGCTACGATTTTGCAACAGCAAACGTGCTCTCAACGCTTGGCGCGCTGGTTAAACGAGCTGGCATTATTTCAGCCAATGTTCCACTGGATTGAAGGAACATCCAAGGTTGTCGCCGATATGATCTCTAGGACGCCTATTTGGAATGATGGTAATTAGTTTGTCCGCCCTGTTGGAATCATTAACCAAGCCAGAGATTG